CGGGACATGACTGGTTACATGATTGGTTAATAGAAAAATGCCTAATTAGCATACAACGAGTGGAGTTCAGCGCCTAATTAGCATACAACGAGTGGCGTTCAGCGCATGCGCGCACGTGGAGAAAGACAAGGAGGAAACAAGGAGGAAGTTGAGGTCGGCGCCATCTTGTAATGGCGTTTGTAGCTCTCAACATCTCACCCTTTTAAGTTTATAAAAAAGAAAACAGGAATGCTCCACCGAGAAGACCCTTGAGACCTTGATTCCCGTGCAATGGGAACCTGAGCCCTGGGAGGTATCATAGGGCCATACAGCGCCATCCTGGTGCTATGGGAACCTGAGCCCTCAGGGAAAAACGCTGCTGGCGTCTCAACGCTGGAGCATGTTAATCCAAACTTGAGGTGAGTTTCCTTGTTCCACGGCAAGCAAGGCCTGGACCATTACTCGCTGGGCTTTGGCATGATTGTTTTTGAGGCGAAATAACAGCCAAAACAGTAAGAAAACCCCAGCAAACAGAATGCATCCCATTGTTCCCACACCGGCCCATTCCTTGAAATGGGTGAGGGTTTGGGTTAACCAAGACGAGAAATTTTCTGTAAGTCCCGAAATCTCTCTTCTGTCGAAACAGTGTCATGGAACTGCTGGTTTAGGGACAAACCTGGGCATTCGGACAATGGTTGCAGATTCATACAGCTGGGCATCCCAACACATGGCATATGAACAGTTCTCCTCATTTTTACATACAACAAATAAGAAAGGGGGCCATACACATACAGGGGTAGGGTTATATGATAATCTTTTTGATATTAAGTCTCCTTCTGTATCCGTTTGCCGGGGATTATAGGTACCATTGGGGAATTTCTTATACGTAAGCTGTCCAATCCACAACGACCCTCCTAGTATCATTGCCATAGGAGTTATGTCACTACAACTCCCCTTCTCCCCGCATAATAGCCATACATCAAAGGGATTGATATCAGCGTTCATCGGGTCCATTTCTGTAAAATTACCATACCCATCCAATGGGAAAAAGGAAAAAGATGAGTTGTTAATGGGGTGGGCTCGGCGACTCTGGCAGCCTGTCCACGGGATAATGCTAGGATACTTTTCCGTGTGTCCTTTACAAAACGGGGCGTAAATGGGCTGTTGCTTCCTGTTGGACCTGTCTTCAGAAGAAGGCCGAGTTTTAGGCCACCATCCGTGTAGGATTGTTGCATTACTGATCCATCCTTTGCGGCTTACATCGGCACCTAGTCTTTTATATTCTAAAGCATACGAGAAATTACCTAAAACTATGCAATGAGAGGATGTGGTTTGATTAATTGTGAAACAAAGAGTACCGTTAGTTGTCCAGTCCATGGTCGAATTCACTGGGGCAGTTTCGTTGTTATAAGGGAGATAGGCAAGACCGAGGCTTTCATTCGTAGTGAAGAATCGTGGAAAAACTTGGGCATCATGCGTGACCGGTAGGGGGAGAGGAAACGTCGTCATTATCCCCCATCTGATTTCCTCCGTCTTTACCAACGGCATCATCATCAGGGCAAGGATCCACCAATTCGGGTTCATCTTGTTTCACGGTCCTGGTCAGTCTTGCTGGGACCCAAATGGGATTTTCTTGGTCCTGCGGAAAAACACAAACAGCTCCCCTGGATCTGATTAATATAGGATCCGGGCCATTCCATTTGTTAGTAAGGGTGTCCTTCCATTTGACTATGTCCTTAGGTAGGCCCCAACGGGGTTTGGACTCCTCCCTTTTGTTTAGCTAAGTAGGTTTTAAGGGTGCCATTTGCACGTTCAACTATACCTTGTGCCTGGGGATTATATGGGGGGTCCGGCCCATATCTATCAGACTCGTACCTGGCAGCTTCTTCCTCTAAATCAACCTGATCCTCTGGATCTTAACAAAAAAAATAGATGTTTGTATCTACTATTTTGCCCTAAATCCTCTTCCTCCCCGTCAGAAGACGTCTCTTCTGTGGGGGGGGAATCAATTCTTAATTCTTCAAAACACTCGAGATCAGGGCAAAGTTTTTCACTAGTTTCTTCCCTTTTCAACTTCCCTTTTTCTTTGCCGGGAGGCTTCCTTAACGGCCCTTCCGTTTTATCCCCTCCCTCTGTTTCTGACATACTATCTTGATGATCCATTAGAAGTTTTTGTCCTGCTCTTATTTGTTCCTTACACTTCTCATCTTCGAGGCAGGCCTTTACTAATTTATAAATGGGCCAAGTGCCAGGCTTCAATTTTCCTTTTTCTCTTTCTGTCTCAAAATCCTTTCCTAATTTGTTCCATGAGCCTCGAGAGAGTGACCCAGAGTGTAGAAACCACGGGGCTATGCGATCTACTTCTGCCAAAAAATTACGAAGCACTTTGTCAGATATACGGAGCCCTCTCTGTTTCAGCAACGCCTGCATTGCTTCTAGGATGGGCTTCATGACTTGGTTTCCCATTTTCCTTTTAAAGCAGAAGCAGCAGATGGTGACAAACAGAGCCCACGGGAATATACAGATTGCTAAAATGATATAAGGATCTAGCATGCCTCTCAGAGGAGTTCCTTACCTTCCGCGGTGTCAGTTCTGAATCCTTTTCCGACGAGCAGCCGGGGTCCCTCTCGTGGCCCGTCCACCGGGACGTTCGGCAGCGTTCCCGGGTTTTGGCACCAGTTGTCGCGCGCCCTCGCCGATAAAGGACGCGACAAGCAGGATTCTTCTGACAGTAGTTTATCGTTACAGCTCTTCTTGCAGTTACAGCTCTTTCAGCGGTGGCGGAGGACGACGTTGGGCAAGGGAGTAGCAGGAGAATATATACTCTCAAAGGAAGGCGTGGCGGGACATGACT